TATATATTCTTAACATAATTAAACAAGGGGCCATTGGACTGAGGCAACTCTATTGCCTTCGTAGCCTGTGTAGTAAGCAAACAAACTAAGCCAGAGTCAATGCAAACAAATCTGAGAAAATAAAACCTAAGAAAACTAATCATGAGCAGCCAACCATGCTTTCCCAAAAAAGGCAACCAAATAGACAATAAAATAATCTTTTGGTCCCCCTCCCATGTCTTCTTTATAAAAAAGCCTTTCCCCTAACTTCTATTGCACTCCTAACTACTTTCAGTTCACAGCTGGATGTTTGAATAGATGTTCACCCAAATAAACTCTTGTCAATTTTAATATGCCTCAGTTTATCTTTTAACAGTATATATCAAAATGTCTTTATTCATCTGTCAATGAACACGTACGTTGTTTCCATATCTTGGCAATTGTGAATAATGTGGCAATGAACATGGGAGTGCATATATCTTTCTGAGATCCAGTTTTATTTCTTTGAGAACATATCCAGAAGTGGGATTGCTGTACAATATGTTATTTCTATTTTTAACTTTTTGAAGAATTTACATACTATATTCCATAATGACTATCTTAATTTATAATCCCACACAGTGTACAAGGGTTCCCTCTACTCCACATTAAAAAAAACTCACACAAAATGTTTTTCATTGATTTCAGAGAGGAAGGGAGAGAGAAATAGAAACATCAATGACAAGAGAGGATCTTTGATCAGCTGCCTCCTACACACCCTACACAGGCAATCGAGCCCAAAACCAGGGCATGTCCCCTGACTAGGAATTGAACCATGACTTCCTGGTTCATAGGTTGATGCCCAACCACTGAGCCATTCCAACTGTTGCATGGACAGTTTAACAATATTAATTCTTCTAACTCATAAACAGAGGATATCTTTATATTTATTTGTATTTTCAATTTCTTTCAACAAGGTCTTAACAAAGACAAAAAAGATAATTATATAATGATAAAGAGTTCAATCCATAAAAAGGATACCTATTGTAAATATACAGGGTGGAGTAAAAGTAGGGTTATAGTTAGAAAATATATAATATATAATGTAGAAAATATATAATGTAGAAAATAATATAATAATAAAATACAAGAACAAATCTTATGGTTTGCATACTTACAACTATAAATGTACTTTGGATTCTCTCTGGATGTGCACCTAACATAGGATCATCTGAATATATAAAGCAAATATTAATACAATTTTAGATGGAAATAGACCACAATACAATAAGAATTGGGGACTCAGTGTCCCACTTTCACCAATAGATTATCTAGACAGAAATTTAATAAGAAAACATTGGATTTGAACTATATTTTTGGTCAGATGTACCTAATAGATAGACCAGGTGGAATAGAACATTTCATCCAACAACATGGAACACACATCCTTGTCAAGTGCACGTAGAATATTCTTCAGAGTAGATCATCTGGTAGGCCACAAAACAAGTTAACAAATTCAAGAAAATTAAAATCACTCCAAGAATCTTTTCAAATCACAATAATATAGAACTCGAAATCAATACCAGGAGAAAAACTGGTAAACACATTTCCAAATAGATGGAAATTAAACAACACATTCCCAAAACACCAGTGGGCCAAAGGAGGAAATCAAACAAAAAAAAAAAAAAAACAAAAAACAACTTGAAACAAATGGAAATGGAAACACAACGTATCAGAACTTAAGTATTGTACTCTATTATATGCATTATTTTGATATACAACATCTTATCAAATCTGAAGGGGAACTGTAGTGAGCTAAGTGGGCAATACAATGATAGCCTTCTCTTTTTAGGTTAGTTCTAAATCTTGTCAAACTAAAGCAGGAGAAATCTGGTTCATTTCAGTTCTGCAGTTTGACTTTTCCTTAAGTCACAGATAGCAGTTCTGGAAAAGACAAGAAGAAAATGAGAGAAAGACAGAGAACACTTCAATTAATGCCTAACTCAGTTAGTAGCCCCTTTGAACCAGGTTACTCAGGCTAACACTGTAACCCCTCACAAAATTAACATAATTGTTCACATGTTAAGAATTATAATATGTACATGTCACCTGCTTTATATATTTGCCTAAATAGTGTTGACCTATAAATCCTTCTATTTCTAGTGTATCTAAGTTTATAGGCCTAATCCCTCTAACTCAACACTTACATCCAAGCTATTCAAATTGCTATGATTATGTGATAGGAAGTTAAGGAATTTGGAATTGGCGTAATGCTCTTGAGTAAATCCAGATTCTGCAACTCACTGGCTGTAAGATCATGGACAAATAATTTATATCTCTCTACTTCAGGCTCCTCTTTTATAAAATATGGCTACAACTTCACAGCCATTACTAAATTTAAATGTGATAATGTTTGTGTGCTTATCACAGGAAACATGGGAGGTACTCAGTAAATTGGCTAAATGTATTAGTGGTGGCTTATTTCAGTCTTTGTCTTAGTTTCTACTTTCTCTGGCGCCCCTCCCTTCTCCCGCCACTGTCTCCCCCCAGCTCCACCCCCTCCTGTTGCTCCTCTTTTCATTTGGAAGTGTGTTTGTGTGGTATATATGTTTGTGTATTCCACTTCAAGAAATCTTCACATTGACACAGAGAAGCCCCCAGACAAGGATTTCACAATAACGAGGAATAAACAGGATTATGAAAATTTGCTCCTTCTGGCAGTCTCTGTTTTATTTTAAAGCATTAAAAAAACATTTTAATAAACAATCTTAAACATTCAGCAGGGCTCAAATTACTTTATAGAAAACCCCTATAAACCCACCACTTAGATTTTTCATTGATTTTTAGAGAAAGTGGGAGGGAAGAAAGAGAGAAGAGGAAAGAAAGATCAATGTGAGAGACTCATCAATTCGTTGCCTCTTACAAGCACCCCAACTGGGGTTGGGAATGAACCTGCAACCCAGGTATGTACCCTTGACTGGAAATCAAACCTATGATGCTCTGACCACTGAAACCCTAGCTAGGACTACTATACATGTTTTTTTTTTTTAAATGTATCTACCTATGTATTCATTAATCCATCTTTGATGCAATTTAAAGTAAATTGCAGACATCAGAGCCCTTCTCTTTAAAACCTTTGCCATGCATGTCATACTAAAGACTATATTTTGTTTCCATTCTTTTCTTTTTATATAAAGTTTGCAAATTATGATATACATAAATCTTATGTGTGTTTTCACTGAGGTTTGGAAAGATGTATATATCAAAACTTTTGGAGTTTGACTTGATTTTTTATATTGACTTGCTTCTTCTTTCTAAGAGATACTAGATTTTTGATCTTCTGTGGTTTATTGTTTATATGCTTCCCTTTCATTCCCAGAGAATAGGTAAGACCTAGACAGTATTTTGATCACTTACTCAGTTAAGGCACCTGAAATCAACCATGTAGTAAATGGCAGAGTCTTACAATGTGGGTGAGAGATTTGTATGAGGGAGAAAGGATAGGCAGAGTGGCAGAAGGTGGCACAGATGCATTGCAGGCAGCCTTGGCAAAGTGGTGGAAATGTATCTTGTGTGGATAGCTGACAGGGACCTGGCCTTCCTGGAGTAGCCGGTTCCAGTAGGAGAGAGGAGGAGGAGGCCATGTGGAAAGGCAATGCTTTTAGTAAAGATATGCAATGACTCACTTCTCTAACTACATACATTTATATTCGAAATACCTAAATTACTTCAGGGGGAGAAATTACAAAGGAGAAAAGGCTCAATTTCCCTAGGAAGCAGGAAATTTAGTAAACAGTAGCCCCCTCTATCCACAGTTTTGCTTTCTGTACTGTGGTCCAAAAATATTATGTGAAAAATCCCAGAAATAAAAGAGTTCCTAAGTTTTCAATATCTCACTATTCTGAGTAGTGTGGTTTGATCTCATGCTGTCCCGCTTCCTCCGACCCAGTAGAAGACTGAGTGAGTTATTGAAAGGGCTGTTTTGTGACCTTGGTTCTTCTACTATCTCCTGTGTTTTTCTTTGGTCGTAACTAATTAAACTCTCTCTGGGCCTTAAGATTCCTTATATTTCATCTAGTTCTCTCATTCCATGATTAAGATCAATGAGCTGCTTTCTTTAAATATGCACACTTTTACAGACTTTCCCTGTGTTCATTATTGATTTGATGTTTGTTATTTATTTATTTTGTTAATCCTCACCCGAGGATATTTTTCCATTGATTTTAGAGAAAGTGGAAGAGAGAGGGAAAGACAGAGAAGTATAGATGTGAGAGAAACATATCAATTGGTTGCCTCCTGCCCATGCCCTCATGAGGGTCAGGATGAGGAGAAGCCTGCAAATGAGGTATGCGCCCTTGACCTGAATCGAATTTAGGACCCTTCGGCCCCAGGCCAACTCTCTATCCACTGAGACAAACTGGCTAGAACAGGATGTTCGTTGTTTATTGATTATTTATTTACTTCTTGCTATCTGCTGGACTCTATGATATTGCTTGGAAAACTAATAAGTGTTCACATAGTATATAGTCCAAAACCACCAGTTCATACAGATATAAAACAATAGTCCAGGAAGGATAAGTGTTTTATTTTTACATAAAATACTTTCCCCCAAATTGGAGAGAACCAATATTACCTCACCTCAGCCTTATAGAATAGATTTTATAAAAGAAAATTCTTCATTATTCACATGAAAATTCCAAGAATGAATGAGGGGAAGGGATTTTTCCCAAGATGCACAATGACTTCATGGTTGATTTAGATTAGAAAAACAGGTGATCCACATTTATGTCAGGCTAATTATTCCATATTGCATCTACATGTTTTCTTGATCTCATAGTAAAAACACAGGCCAGGCTTCTGCAGAATTTATTTTATTGTTAAGCAAATGAAGGAAAATATTATATATTGAATTCTCCAAGACCCAGGGAGAGAAGAAGGTGTGTTTTTATAAATTTAAGCTATCTACTGGAGAAAAATCAAAGCATACACAAGAAAAGAAGGCTGAAAGAGCTGCCAGCTGAGCACAAAACATTGGCTCCAATTCAGCATGCTCCAACGTGCTTTAGTTTGAGCTTCCCACCACTTTTCCTATCAAAGAGAAAGAAAAGATATGCTTAGTGCAATATAATTAGTATACATTGCAGACATTGGACAAGGCTTAACTATGTCATCATCTATGTAATTATTTGATTTTACAAGGTATCCATGTTGACAATGTGGCAGAAGTTAAATTCACTTAGCAGTGACATCTGTCCTAATTACAGAAAGCATGAATCTTAAATTTAATAAGGCTTAAATCTTTTTATTTCCATTGTTTCTTCTCTGAGAGTAAATATATGTACAACTGGAAAAGGTAAAAGTGACAAGAGAAATAATGGCAAAGAAACTATAGTGTCATAGCTGTCTCCTAATAGAAAATGGAAGAAGTTAAACCAAATATTCAGGCATTTGGCCTTTTATAGTAAACCATATATTTAGTCCTTCTCAGTAATGAGTGTCCATCATATGTAATCTCAACTTACCCTACTGCCCTTATCCTGGAAAAAATTTGGTATTAATTAGCAGATATCCTATATAATAAAAGCCTAATATGCTAAGTGTCCTACCATTTGTTCAACCATTCTTTCAACCAGTCATTTTGATGTGCACTGATCACCAGGGGGCAGATGCTCCAACTGGTAGGTTAGCTTGCTGCTGGGGTCCAGCTGATTGAGACTGGGCAAGACGAGCAGGACATGTCATGGAACCCTCCCATGGTTTCTGCCCAGCCCAATGGTGCACTGATGGGGTCCTTCAGCGTGGCCTGCACCCTCTTGCAATCTGGGACCCTTTGGAGGATGTCGAAGAGCCAATTTCATCCTGATTCCCTCAGGACAGGCCAAGGGACCCCACCAGTGCATGAATCCATGCACCAGGCCTCTAGTATTATATGTAAATGTAGAAATGTTTATTATACATTGATTCAATATTTATTCATTTTATTCTGTGTGCTTGGCTTTGCAGTTATTGATAGAGCTATGTAATCGCCATGTTTAGGAGTCTTACAGCAAAATTAAGGAAAATTAAGACATTGATAGAAGACAATCTAATATAAGAAAAGAATGACAGTGGTGAAGAAGTGAGGTTACTTTTAAATAGGGCTATAATTTGCCAGGACCGGTTTGGCTCAATGGATAGAGCGTTGGCTTGGGGACTGAAGGGTCCCGGGTTCGATTCCGGTCAAGGGCATGTACCTTGGCTGCGGGTAGATCCCTAGTAGGGGGTCTGCAAGAGGCAGCTGATCGATGACTCTCTCTCATCAATGTTTCTAACTCTCTATCTCTCTCCCTTCCTCTCTGTACAAAATCAATAAAATATATATATTTAAAAAAAAATAGGGCTATAATTCCCTGACTTTAGAGCAATCAGACTAAGAGATTGATTGAGTGAATAAGTTATTATTAATTATAAAATATGTCACATCAGGAAGTTCACAATCTGTTTGTTAAATCTATAGTACCTGTTCTATTTCTTTAAACACATACATTCAATAAATATTGATCCTTGATAGAATCTTCCTAGTATGCTACCTGTAAGATTTGAATAGTCTGGATAGTAAAGGATTGTCCTCTCCTCTATTCTTTATTGAAAGGCCCTTTTCATCAGAGGAAAAGAGAGGAGTGAATGGAAATTGTTGCCTTAGCAATATAGAAATTACTGTAAAATAAAATGCTTGAAAATAATGTGGGTAAAGTAATACTTTTATTGTTAATAATAAACTTTCCCACAAGTTTTTCATGTTTCTAATTTTGATGAATTTTCAAGCATAACTATATTGCTAAAATTTATTATTTTTGAAATTAATAATAACAAAGCATAATGGATACAACTATTAAAAATCTTAGAAATAAATGGGAAAAAATAAAATGTATCAAAATATTTAAAGAAGTATACTTTTTAAAAGTCCCTAAGATTAATCACATTTAATAATTACAATGAAGATTATGCTTTCAAATAATTTATTATGCAAATTGTTATTCCTTTTTGAATGAATTGTTTTCAATCCATTTGCCTGAAGCTTATTTCTGTTATTTCTATGGGTGGGTGTGAATAGAAATTTCTAGACTATTTCAAGGGAAGTGTCATTATCTTATTCAGGAAGTTTGTGCTTGTAAGGGACAGGTTTCTGAGTATGATACTTACTCCATTGCCTTACAGAAGGCACATAGATTGCCATATGTCTGGCCATTAGAGCCACAGTAGGGATCAGATTCCCGAGTGCAGTAGAACTTGGGATCCTGGAACTTAGCACAGTCAACCTACCAAAGTAAGCATAGCAGTGACATGGACATTAGTGCATTCTGTCTAAGGGACTGTTCCACACAATAGAAGCTTTAGAGAGCAAACTTGAGAAAGAGAGAGAGAGAGAGAGAGAGAGAGAGAGAGAGAGAGAGAGAGAGAGAGAAACAGCAAGTCCTGGAAAATGTATATACACTTTAACAGCTAATAGCTCAATTTTGAAGTTGAAATAAAGTTTAATAAACACTGCCTTTATAATTATTCAAAGTATATATACTTTTTTATACACATACTCTATATATGTATATAAATATTTATATAAGTTATATACAAATATATAAATATTTATATAGTCATATTAATATATAAATACTTTATATATTTATATGAAAGTATATGTATATAAATATGTTTATAAATTATATATATATATATATCTGTAATGTAAAGCTTCCTGAAATAGAAAATGACCTTCTTTGTCTGTTTAGCTAGAATATATTAAACATAACTGAGACTTTTTCTTTGAGATACAGGATACCCGTTTCTGTAGTCACAGTATTCAGAAGTGAGTTGATTGCGTTAATGAAGTGAGGCAATTACTCCCTACAAATGTAAGAAGTAAGGCAAATGCCATAGGTATGACTTTCTGTCCCAACACTAAATTTTCAATTGAGAGTGGTTTTTTATCTTTAGGTGACACTTTTTTTTTTTTTTTTTTTTTTTACTGTATTAACCTAACTATAACAGCACTCTTGTTTTGTTATATAGATATGGATGATCACTGCAAGGAGATTCCAAATGTTATGTGATGGCTTGTTAGTTTTCCTTGTGGCTGCTACATCCGTTTATTCTCTTGAAAACAACATTTTAATGTCTTCATATTAACTTATTTTTTCTCTGTAGTATTTGAACTTTTGTGACTAAGTTGCTCTATTTAGGATTCTGAGGTTGCATCCAGCCTTGGTGAGAACATGTGCCATGACAATTAATGATTATTGTCATGGGCTCTGTAGAAGGAATGGTAGGAGCACCTGTGCTGCTAATATATGCCCTCAGTTATAGTAGTCTCTCAAAAATAGCCTGGAGTTTTAAAATTCTTTTCAATTGAATCAATATTTTATATGCAAATGACATTTGAGCCCTTTTATTCCAAGTTATAGGCAATACACAACAGGTAGAACCAAACTTTTCCAAATATCAACTATGTGGAATGAAGTGCCCTTTAACATGAATGGAGGGGCCATACTTTACCCCTCTCCTAGTCCCATTAATTATGTCTTATGTTTATTGCTTCATTATATTTAAACCATATAAAGTAACTCTGCTGAGATAACTCTGAGATGTATGTGGAACAAATTATATTAAGCAGTTTACAAAAGTGAATATTGATCCTCAGGATAATTAAGTAGCTTCCCAATGCCATACAACCAGGAAGTGTTAAAAACCAGTGCTTGCACATATGCCTTCTCATTGCTGATTCCAACTATCTATTATGGTTGATTTCCAACATAGCCTCATTTAGAGAAATAAAGACCAAGTTCATGATGTACTCTTGACCTCACTTACAATCAGGGAAAGTAAGCTTTATTGAAATACCTTATAAATTAAGTGTGTGGGCACAAATAAGAGTAATCATATCTTCAAGATATTAGCAAACAGTTATCTATATGTATAAAAGCCTAAGTGACCAGCTGATTGGCTGGTAGCTATGAGGCACACTGACCACCAGGAGGCAGTGCTCAATGCAGGAGCTGCCAAGCTGCAGTTACTTGGGAGCTGCAGTTCTCTGGAGACACACCTGGAACCAGGAAGAAGGGAGCCTGATTCCAGGGTGTTTCACCCGAGAACTGCCCTCTCACAGTCTGGGACCCCCTTGGGGATGTTGAAGGGCCAGTTTCAGCCTGATCCCCACAGGCCAGGCAGAGAGACCCCACCAGTGCATGAATCTGTGCACCGGCCCTAGTATACTCATAATACTCTCTGAAGGTTTGGATGGGGAAAAGCAGAGTAAAAGAGTCACACAGTTGAGTTACAAAATATCACACATATCAGAGTTAAGACAACAGACTATTAAACACACATTTTAAAATGAAATTTCACATTTTGTACTATTGAGGCTGGGTGGGACGATGCTTATCAGAGATCTTAGGGTTGGTTGGATAGAAGATGTTTAGGCTTATTATAGTCCTACCTATTGTCTCACTTTTTCCTCACTGATCATAAAGAAAACTCCATTTTTATACTACTTTTGGGATAGTAGCCTTTCCTTTAGGTCTCCAAATAAAAAGTAAGCTGAGAAATCTTTAGGACATGATTAACCATAGGAGTTTTTTTTTTTTTTCTTTCTTTCTCTTTTCTTCTCAAAAACTAATTTATTTTGAATTTAAGTCATGAATACACACATTTGCAACTGTGTGAGTCAAGAATAGACTGTAAACCATAGACTTATTACTGATATTTTGATTTATCCCACCAACAGCCAATGGGTAATTAATATTTGTAAGGCATGGTTCTGGGTGCTGGTGATACAAAAAAAAAAAATGAATGAATTATAATATCTCCATAAGTTCACCATCTTATTTGCATTCGGAAAGCAGAAAGAACACCATTAATTACAGCACAATGAGTGATAGACACCACAATGGGCCAAACAGGGACAAATGTGCAAGCTGAGAAAGGGCATCTTAGTCAGAGAAATGTGTGTCTCTACAGTCAGATCAGTGAGAAAGGAAACCAAAGTCTCTTACTTTAAAAAGACGCCTTCTTAAGCCATCTTTCCATGGCATTCCACCCTCTGATCTTGTGATCCAGGCTCTTTTGTCCTTTAGAAAGCAGGTATGAAAGTGGCACTTGGAGGGCATTTACTTGGAGAACTTCTAGACCCCCCCTCTGTGCCCAGACCCACTTTCCCCCTTCCACGGCCCCCTGGAAATGAGAGTAGATAGGGCTAAGAATTTCCATATCAATCAAATGGTATATGAAAAAACTTCTTTAGAATATAGATATAGTTTATGCTTCTAAATTGTTCGAGGGTCCCTGATGTAGCTAAAGAACCATGTTTCAGAACTTGTCTTGTCATTTGCCATTGGCTGGGTGTCATCTCAGACAAAGTGCTCACTAGCTGCATCTAAATTTTCTTAACTAAAATGTTCTTTTTTTAAATTTACGGTTGTCATGCTTCATTCCCATGATTGTCATAAAGTCATATAAGAGTTGTAGAAAGTCAGCGTGGAGTATTTGAAATACTCTTGGACTAGGCATGCAAAAAATTAGGTTTGTGTTGTAGACCTCTAGCTATAGCTCTTACCATTTTGGAAGGAGCTTCGAACAAGTGTTCAGTATCAGAAGACTAGATGGTCTCTGAGGACCTTTCCTGCTTTGATAACACAAGATTTAGCAGTGTTTCATTCAATAAAGTGGCTTAAATTAAGCTAAGTCCTTAATTCTTCAATTGGATGTGAGAAATCACTACTGCCTGAATGATTCTTTTATATCTAGTGGCCTTTCTTCACTCACACCATGTGAGAAATTTTAGCATGGTGATGGGGACAGGAAAAGGCCACTCTCCGAGAGCCCTGGACATTTGAGAAGGTAAAGAATGACTTTCAGAGTCAGCCAGAAATCCTTTCTGTGAGGAAAACAACGAGGCAGGAGAACATCAGAATATCTAATAGGACTAGAAAGAGCCCACAGTTCTCAACTTAGGGAGAAGCAGGCTAAGAATGGCATGCCTTTGCTCTGTCTAAATTTCCTGTCCTCTTTTATATTTTTATTTTAGTCTTTAAATAGAATGCAGATAATTAGTTTCTTAGTGGACATAAAAAAAAGCAGGCCTAGACCAGGGGTGATAGGATTATCTTTCCTCCTTAAGGTTTCCTCCAAGAGGACAGCCAAAATCCTGTGAATTTATTTGAAATACCCAATGCTCTATAATGTTAGGAGACTGTACTGCAGAAGGTATTAGACTGACCTGGGTTTGAATTTTGCTTCTTCCTCTTACTACCTGCATTACCTCGTGCATATAGTTGACTACTCTGAGCTGAAATGTCTTTATATTTAATTGGAGCCCAGCAATACCTGTCTTCTAGGGTTCTTGTAAATGATTAGTCCTTTGAAAAACATTTTATAAAGCTTCAAGCACCGTGTGGAGAATTGATATTATGAGCACTAACAATGTACATTGTTTCACATTCTAGAAGTTTTGGAGCCCATTATTTCTTACCCTACTTAATGAGGACTTTTGTTTTGTTTTGGTAGTTTTTAGGTTGGTGTTGGCTTTAACCAGAGCCTACTTGTTAAAGCCAACAAGTAGGTTTATTTTCTTAGTTCAGCTTCCTTAGACTACTTCTATGTACTTGTGTGCCAAAGTTTAGTACAGGCCTGACCCCTTGTGGCTCTTCAAAGAATTGTACCTTCAAAAATATTCTGAAATACAGGGACACTTTTAGTACCCAGATTAGTCTTCTAATGGAAACTACAAAATCATTTAATTTTACTGGAAAGTGAACTTATATGATCACAAAAATTAACTTATAAGTCAGGATCATTGATATTTTAGTCTAGCATTTCAGTTTTAAAAATAAAGCCAATGAAAATTTGCAAACACACACACATCTCTAGGGTGTAGGACTTCATCTGTTCTTCCCTTTACTACTACCCATGTGGTTACATCAGCTCCTTTTTAATCACACCAGTGTTCTAAACCCCTCCATGACTTGGCCTCTACTTCTGCTTTTATACCCCGTCCACACTACCAAAATGGCTCTACAAAATGATTCAAAATACATCCATTGGCTATTTGTAAAATGTTCATGAATTTTTGTGATGCTACTCCTTTTTGAAACACCTTATTTCTGTAAATTAAATATGTCAATACTCTGACTCTCCAACTATTTCTTCTCTCTTCTTTTTATCACTTTTTATTTTACTCTTGACTATTCACTATGTTTATTTTCAAGAAAATTTTATATACTTGATTTTGCCTCTCTAAGAGCCTATATATTCCCAGATGATACTGATGAATCTTAGCCATTATTTTTTTTTCTTAAATCTTCATCAAAATTTCAAACTCTAATTCCTGTTATTAGAAACATACAGGACAAACTTAGATAATAATTTAATTCACAATTAATACTCATTTATATATTGTGAAGGATTCTCAAATTCTCCTTTTATAAGTTTATAAATTAGACTATTAACTATAATCTACCATCCGATGCTTCAGCATGGAGAGGCTTCTTGGCATGAGTGGACTGAGTTAAGTGTTGGAGGAAATATTTCTTCCTTTGGTCTTAGCAGAATTAGAATTGAGCAGGCATGCTCCTAAGGCTAGTTTCAACTTTTCCTGCCTGTTGTTTGGATAGCCACCATCTTTCCAGCCATACAGAAGAGAAATGGAAGCCTTGATGCCATCCGAAAGGTGGCACCCTCCCTTCCCTGACTACTTGAGTGGAAAAAAAGACAGCGGTCTTGGCAAGGCAGGCTTGGTTCCTACTGATTCAGATAGCTAAGGTCAGATGGGGCTTTAGAGATCATTGAATCTAAATTTTTATTTTGGAGATGTGCAAACAAAGGCAGTGGCAAGAGAGGAGACATCTCTTAGATCACACAGGCAGTAAATATTCAAATTAGAACTCATGTATACAGTCTCTAAGATGTTTGAGCAAAAACAGCCTTCCCAGCACTGGATAATTATGTAGAATGCAGATTGAAAATTTCCCCATCTGTGATGATTATTTAGTAAGTCTGGCATGGTGCTGGGGATCTGTATATTTAGAAAACATTTCCATGAAGGTAGAGGAGGGTGGGGATGAGGGGGAGAGATCAACCAAAGGACTTGTGTGCATGCATATGAACCTAACCAGTGGTCACAGACAAAAGGGGGGTGGGATTATGCATGGGGAGGGATTTAGGATGGGAATGGGAGAATGAGGACAAATATGTGATACCTTAATCAATAAAGAAATTAAAATAAAACATTTCCAGTGATCCAAAAGCAATTCCACTAAGAGACTTAGACCCATCCAAAGGAATAGAATCAATAAATAGTAGATTTTAAGTGAACTTTAAAAAACACTGAAAATCTGGGAAACATTAAATATCCTGAAGATCAAAACCTAAATAAGGGAAGAGACTTGAGTGTTGATGAGAAAACGGATAAAATTTCATATATTTTCAATCTGTATGTAATGCTTTTATATTTTATTACCTAGTAAGATACAAAATGGGTTGGTTGTATTGTGCTATTGTGTATGTTTAAAACAATAAGAAATCAATTTTAAGATATACAATTTTATATACAAGTACAAAAATGTGTATGTATGTGTCACACACACAAGGGCACACGCACATACATTAAGAGTTAACAGTATGGCATCATCTATTGAAAGATACATTTCAATAAAATTTGTTTAAAATTGGAAGGAAAAAGTCTTATGCAATATACTAGAGTTGGAAGAGGTTTTCAATTCTTTTGCCAACTTGAACTAGTTGGCAATATTATCTGGAAACTTTTAATGTCAAGAGTTCTTGGGCACACAAAGGCTAACAAAAATAAGTGCCAAAGTCAAGTAGAAATGTTCTTTTGTATGGACACAGGAGTAGCACTAGCTGGAGCAAATGCCACCTGTTTTTATTTTTTGATACTTAGAACAAGCAATCTGAGGAAAAGTTGATGGATTAATTTGGAAAAAATAGCAGCCAGACAATGAAGATAATTTTTCCCCATTCCAATTTTTAACCCAAATTGTACTTACATTTAAGTGAACCAGTCTATGTATACTCAATAAAGAACAGTAAACAAACTTTGTAATAAGCAACCTTTTTTTTCTCACTCTTAGTGGCCTTATTTCTACAAAGGAAAGAATAACCTCTGACCTAAATCCTTCAGAAGCTGTTAATTATTAATCAACAACTAATCCTTTTATAGTCAACCAAATACTTCCACATAGTTTATATAATTTCAGCCTGACTACAATTCTTTGAAGTGAATAAGATTGTTTTCTTTTTTTATAGTTGTGGGAATTGCAGCTCAGAAAACCTGAGTTACTTGCCCAAGATCTCATAGTGAAAGTGGAGATAGATTATGAGTGTTATCATAGACTCATCCCATTCTCATTTATAGTTTCTTTCCTTTAACAAAAACTGAGAATGGGTATTTAGGCTCCTTTATCTCATAGAGAAATTGTAGTTAAAATGTTTATTATTCCAATTGATTTCTGCATTTGGCCTGCTGGTTCAATGTTTTGCCCTTTAGCCCACAGACAAAGGCTGGGCTGGGAATACCAACCAAGCACCACCCAGGTCTGAAGAATAGATAAAAATATGCACTGACCTTTTTTCCTTGACTGAAGACACCTGAAAAACAAATCGCAAAGTCTTAACACTATAATTTCTGAATGTATAAAAAGTGGGGTTTGCAAAATTGGGAGTCCCTCAAAGCTGGAATGATACTTATTCTTGATTCTTGGTCATCTCAACAAGGCATGGCATGTTTGATTTTTTTATACCTGTTCAGTTCTCAGGGAGCATAGGCACTTGGGAAGTGATGAAAGGGAATGGACAAGGTTGAGATCAGATTTCTTAGAGGTTGGGGAGGGGAGGTGAAAGAAAATTGTTTCAGAATCTGGAGATTCATGTTAGAGTTCTGGCCCAGTTACTAATCCATTGTGGAAATGACCTCATCTCTGGTCTTCAGAGAATTTGGGTTGGAAAGTCTCCTGAAACTTTGACATTTCCAGGTTCATTGCATTGCCTATAGGCAATTCAGGAAGAGATTAACTTTATTTGTTCTTTGAGGTCAAAATTGCTTTTCTGTCCTCTATACTCAGATTTAAAGACTTGGCCCAAATATAGACTGACAAGGACAAACTCTTTTATTTTGCTACATCTCTCTAAATTACTGAAAGAGGAAACAATCTATAAAAAAGTCTTGTTTCTCTCTCTCCCTCCATCTTTATAGCTATGTCTGTGATTTTGGATTGTGGTTGATTAGCTCAATGGTTTTAAATACTGAAATAATAAAAATGTTAGGTTCAATTCTGCTCTGAGCTGAATTCTGGTCATTTCTGGGGAACTTCTAATGCCAGTGACACCTGGCACATTCAGCCAAAAGCCTCCTTGATGACAGAAAATATAAGTGTCATACTTGAAGGAGGACAACTGGAAATACCTTTAAGTATGTTCTCTATTAATGGAGATGAGGCAAGAACAGGGCTTTTAATCTTGAAATAAAGTTGATAACAATCTACTATAGTGAGTACCAACCATATTGCAGCAGTGTTATTAAAAAATACAGATTTTTAAGGACACTTTAAAATTTCATTATATAAGATCAAATAGGGCCTAGAAGTTTATATTTTTGTAACCACTGAAAGTAAGTTTTATGGCCCAGGAAAACTCATTATTACAATTCTCAGCCATTTCTTCACTGTAAAAATCTTTTATCAGAAGAGGAGAGATTGTGCCCACTGTCTTCTTATATGTAGAATTACCAAGGCAGAAGGATGGTTAACATCAGCAACACCTGAGTTCAATACAGTGGTTGTATTATTGAAATTTACTAATGTAAATTTGGGTCTAGAGTATCTATTGTGTTCTTTGTCTACTATTACATCATTGGGTGGAAAAATAAAGAAGTTAGGAAAGAGATACAGTGTTCTGTTCATTCACATGGCCCCATACTGAAAAACATTAGATCCAAGTATAGCTGCCCTTTGAACAATCCAAGTTGATAGAGAATATATGACTACTGCTCATTAAGGTGTCCAAAGATATTCCCCTTCTTGAACAATTGTTGAGTTTCCCAACAACATATATGTTTCAGTATTCTGAGATTGGATACCTTTTCCTGAAGGATTTTTCTAATTGAGTTTCCTTTTCCCTCTTGTTCTAATTTTAATTGAGTTCCAATTACTGTATAAAAATAATGAGAACATAGAAGCTTTCCTTTGTCTTAGAAGAAAATATTTAAATAAATATTTAAAACAACTAGCCACCCCCCCAGACCTAGTTTTGTGGAACAAGCATAAACTGTGATGTCTAGAAGACCTGATCAAATTCCAAATTCTACTTATGAGTTACAAGTCCTTAGGCAATTTTCTTATTTCTCTCTCTCTCTCTCTCTCTTTTATTTTTTTGTGCCACAGATTTCTTATATGTGTAGATAAGAATAGTTTGCTATGTGTATTGGAGATAACACATAAAAGCTCTTAGTACATGCCTAGAATATAGTATATACTCAACAAATGAAAGTTATTTTTATCATTATTACTATTACCATTTTCATCATTATAATCATTATCATCATTATGATAATCTCTCAGAATTTTATATCAAAATTGTTAGAATTTAAAATGTGGTGGGCAGATATATTTGTCACGTCCATTCAGCATAAGTATTGGATTTTAATTTTAAAGAAAAAACTCACCTGAGAAAAAGCAGAAAAGAGCCAGAGAGAGGAGCAGAAAGACACCTGATATTTTCATGGTGCCAGTTAGCTCACTCAGATGCAGGCTGCTTTGTCCAACTCAAGTTCTCTGTCAAGACACTTCCCAGAACACTAAAACACACACACTTAGACATATATATAGAGACATAAGAAGGAGTTGGGATCTCCACCTTCTTTATAAAGTCACCTTCTAAAACCATAAGCAATCCTGTACATTTAGACATTTTTTATGACCTGTACTCAATGTAAAGGATATTGTTTCCATCAATTTTAAAATTAGAATAATTATGTGAGTCGTACCTTAGATCTTATTAATACAGGATGTCATTTTCCACAGGTAAACTAGGTTTCCCTAGCAACCAGTACATTCTCCCTGCTCTTCCCTCTATAGTTTCACTACATTAAAGGGATGAGTCACTGGTGGGGCCACACTTGATGTTATGTCTCTTTTAGACAGGCCCTACATGTCTGTGGTCCAAGTGAGTAACCGCAGAGGAATGGAATCTTGGGTGTAACTATGATTTTCCGAGTCCACATCACCCAAGAAGACCAGAACCACACCAGTAAAAACATTTTCTGAGCAGAAATCAGTCTGTTAATTTTTTAAAACATGATTGTAGTCAAATGGCAGTGATTTTCAATTTTTAAGTCAAAATGAACAAAGGAGGTAATGTCTATTTTTTCCAATTTGTAAAAAGTAAATTACTAATCTGTAAAAATTACTAAACTGAGGAATTTTTAATATTTCCTTTTTTCCTGCAAAGTAAAGAAGTGGTTACAATAAAACTTTTTATGTTTTAACTCCTTGAAAATATGCTTTTCTACAAGTTAGATTAATTCCATTAACTATCATGGCCAGTTTAATTGCAAACAGAGCAAAGTATGGATGCTATAGATTTCTTGGGGGGAACAAAAAATAAAGAGTGGTTATAGTTATGATAATAAGATCTGTCTCAAATCATAATCAACTACTTAAAATATCCTGAGGAAAAAGTATAATAATTTAAAATATGGAAATATGAAAAATGTGCCCAATTTAAATTCAAGTGATTATTGCAATGTTGTGCAAATAACTCAGAAATTATATATTTAAATACCTATTTTCCTTTTAAATTAGTCACTTTGAGAAAATATATACATAGTATAGATATTGTTTCCTTTTATTCAGGACATTTGTTTTCTTTCTGGAAAATATATATTTTTAAAATATTTAATTTTATTTATCTTAAAATTTAGAATGACATTTCTGTCTTTGAGGAGGGGAGATCTATTTTATTTTACAATAAAAAAGACATTACTGTTTAATAAAAAAGTGAAGCATGATTGTAATAAAAATAAGAAGTTGCTTCTCTGACAGTTTTAAAAGACCTGAACTTAAAGGAAAGAGGAAAAAGAAGTACAGTCTAGAAAGAAAGGAAAGGAATAAGAAGCAACTAGTGTGCTTGGCAACTATTAAGTATTTTCATTCTAAGGTAGTGTGATGACATACACACATACACATACACTCACTTATAGGTAACCTTAAAGTCCTACATAAAATTATAGGTCAAATGTTAGACACTGAAAATTTCAAAGACACCAATGAACAACCTAAAAAACAAATTGTTTTGAAATTCTTCGTAAACACTTTATGGGTGTAGTAATCTGGGAATATTTAGAAAACAGAATAATTGGTAAGAAAATAATTGTTTAAGAAAAGCTATGGAATTTTCACATAATACTTTTGTCTACTTGACATGATCTTTAATTATTTTGGTCTTGTTGAATGAGAAAAGATAAAGAGCCTGGCTCAAAAATTTGACATATTCCATAGGCTTGGTTTTAGGTACTGCTGCTTTCCTGCTCCCCAACCCCACTCCCAATGCCTCCTCCTCCCTTTTGCATTCTCCCTTTCCTTCCTCTTTTTTATCAGAATATTTGGGGCCAGTCTAAGCATAGCCTCATGTCCCAAAAAAGCAACAAATTCAAAAGACTTAACAAATAATAAACAAAATATAAGATGGAGCCATGGCATTCCATCAGAATGGTGCTTTCTTCTCTTCCAGTCATTTTTGTTAGTTTCTTCTCATCCTTTGTTCTAAAGTCTCCAAATCACTGTTTGCCTAAATGTTATTATCTCTCTTCATCTTCCATCCCCATTTTTCAAGAACTTTTCTTCAACAGGTGTATATTTTATTGATTTTTTTTACAGAGAGGAAGATAGAGGAATAGAGAGTTAGAAACATCTATGAGAGAGAATCATCGATCAGCTGCCTCTTGCACACCCCCTACTGTGGATGTGCCCCCAACCCAGGTACATGCCCTTGACCGAAATCGAACCTGGGACCCTTCAGTCCACAGGCCGATGCTGTATCCACTGAGCCAAACCGGTTTCGGCAACAGGTGTTTTTGATAGAATGATTCTAATCTATTTTTATTCCCTTTATAATAAAGCTTGGAAAAATGGAAGATGAAATAAGTATTGAATCTGAGTGGGTATTGGGGAGAGAATATTATATCACAATAATATATATTTTAAGAAGACTGGTACTTTGAACGTAGTTTTTGTTAGGTTTCCGAGTCCATGTGAAAGATAGCTGTTTTTTGTTTGTTTGTTTGTTTGTTTGTTTGTTTGTTTTTTCTTTCTTTTTATAAGACATAAGAAAACAGCTAAGAACTCTTCTGTAGGAATCATCCTTAAATAAGAAGCTGAGATTATAGGAGGTACTGAGAAGTTACAGGCAATATTGACCACTATTAAAGTTGTGTATAATTCTAGTCTTTTGACTACAGAGTAAGTAGATGAGAGCAGTTTGAATTTTGTTTTCTGTAGCACTCTGACAGGAAAGTTAAGAAAAAAGATTTAATAATCATAACATTTAAAGGTAAGTTTCAATGAATTAAATTATGAAAAAAAGAAACAAAAGGGAAAAGAAAAGAGGGTGTGGAAGAAAGCAGTTAAAGTCAAGCCATTTTATAGACAGTAGAATGAAGTCTCAGCATACATGTAGTTAATTTCCAAAAATTAGCTATGCACACTTTCTTTATGTAATTAAAGACAAAAATACTGTGATATTATATTTTCCAAGAGCAGTTTATCATATAAACTCAATACATTTACTTACAAATATTATTCGGAGTCAAATACACACAATCATCTACATTTTTAAAAGGTAATTCTGATTCTATAAACTTTGTGATATAAGAGATTTTTTTTTTTTTGGCACAGCTGAGAGATTTTTAAGGGTGCTTTTTGATTCTATAATTTTTTTCTGTTGGTTGTACAACATCATTTTGCGTATTGAGGTGCAGCTTTATGGCTTTTAGAAAGCTTAGGTCTGAGCCCAGGGGTATACCTACCTGTTTATATGTTTTAACATTTTGTTCATTCATATAAATATCTCGCAATATTGTTCATATGTAGTATGATGTGTTATTTTGAAATGTCAGTTCTCAAACACTGATGTCCTTATCTCTAAGCCCTTGAGCCCTGCCACTATTTAGCACAGGTCATGGGATGGAGAGGTGTGTTTAAAAAAAAAAAAGAACAGGCACCACCTTAGTCAAGGGAGTCACTGTTCAGCATTAAATTATGAAGTGGCTTTTTAAATTTTGTTAACATTACTAGCCATACAATAGACTAAAATTAAGAATTTAGCTACAATGTGAAAATCAAACTAAGCCATAATATATAGTTTGCTACATAAAACTTTGGAAAGTTAACTGATGCTATAATATAGTATTAAGAACATTTGCGTTTCATTTGAAGATTTCTCTCTTCCTAATTTTTTTCTTTTTAAATTCATTTTTAAGGCTGACTTTTGTATATCTGCTTTTATATTAAGCCTCCTAAAATATCTTATGCCAAAGCTTAGCATTAATTTGAATAAGATCCCAGAAAAGTTCATTATAGTGTAGATTTAGAAATAGTTATGAAAACACTAAAGGCCTGGTGCATTAAATTTATGCACTAGGGAGGCAATTCTTCAGCTCAGCCTATGCCTCTCACAGTCCTAGAGCTCTTAAGGGAAGTCCAACTGACTGAAGTCCTAAGCCAGTGGTTGCACATTCTTAGCACTGTCACAGAGGCAGGAGAGGCTCACACCACCGCTGCTACACTGGCCAGCCATGAGTCCAGCTTCTGGCTGAGCAAACTGACCACCAGGCGGGGGGGGGGGGGGGGGGGGGGATTCCTGAATTGAGCATCTGCCCCCTGGTGGTAAGTGCGCATCATAGTGATAGGTCATTCCACTGTTTGGTCTATTTGCATATTAGCCTTTTATTATATAGGTTGCCATTATCCTTAAGTGTAAAAAATTTAAAAAATGTCAGATGAAGTCACTAAACTGGCAGGTCTGAGATATATAGTAGATGTAATGGATTGAAACGTCAGGGAGGCATTAAATAAAGTTTCTCATTCTCTAATTGTGAAAGGATCAAAATGATGAGTAGATGACTGTAACTGGTTGAACAACTGAACAAAAAACTGCTGATGGATGAATGAACATGACCAGGAGGAACAGAATACTGTCCCAGTCAGTACTTTTGTAAGTGATTTAGATGAAGATACAGATAGCATGGTTTAAATATGAAGTCACATCTCTGTTAGTCTCTCCTTTTGTGGTTCGTTTTCTTCACTTACAGAGAGAGTGTTTCATCTTGTTAATTTTTGCCAGTCATCATGCCCAATATGCAGAAATCTTTTTGACTCCTGACATGACTTCCCACCTTTAAGATTGCATTAAATTTGTCAATAAATATTTAAGAAAATATGGCTTGTGTTTATTCCTATGACTATTTGTCTCTCTCTTTACAGAACTTTTATAAGTCTGTCTACAGAGGTTGGCACTGAATTGCTATCTTTATTTACTGATTGATATTTTTATCTACAACATCTATAATAATAAAAGCATAATATGCTAATTAGACTGGACACCAGTTCCCAATGAAACTGGAGCTGTGAGGGAAGCCCAGCTCCAGAGTTCCAGAGGGAAGTCAGTGCCGGAAGCCAGGGAAATGAAGGGCTACTCTTGCACGAATTTCATGCATCAGGCCTCT